TCTTTTCTGTGTTTAGATTGTGTTTTGCTTGTCTGTTCAATTTGTATATGTGTGTGTGAGTGTGTGTGTGTGTGTGTGTGTGTGTGTGTGTGTGAATGTGGTGCTGGTGGTTGTGGTAGGCAAGCCCTCTACCCCAGCTACATCTCTCAACTTTTAACACATCAGTATTAATTAGTGTTGAAAAGCCATTTAGTAATTAAACTCAAAACATGCTATTTCCATTTGTGTTTTGACAAAGTAACTATTTTCTCTAAATGTAACATTTTTTTCTTGTTCCTCGAATTCTAGTCTATGATTTATCTTATTATCTGTCCCTTGCTCTCCTCCCACAAACTAATGCCTCATTTTTTTTTCTTAATGAAAAAATTAATAATATCTCTTGACATATTTCTCAAAGTCTTACAGCAACCCTCTGAATAGACTTTATTCTTCCGATTTTATAGGAAACTGAGGCTCAACAAAGTGAAATAAGCAAATGTATCTAGTTTGCTCTTTTAGAGATTGAGGGTAGAAGCTGAGGGTTTGGAAGGGTTCAAAATATTTTTAGTAAATCTTTGGATTTATTTATTTTGTTGTTCTTATGTTTCTGATACAGGGGGTCCTAGGGTCTTAAATAAGCATCTAACCAATCTTCTGAAAAAGAGCTTTTCATATTCTCCTCCTATTTGGAATTTTGCTTGTAAATTTGACTCTCAGAAGGAGCCATTATCTGTGGTCACTACTACTTAGTCATGAGATTTGCTGTTTATACATTCTCATATTTTGAGAGAACCATTAGACCTTGTTCCTTAGGTTACTTGCCTGTTCTAACATTTTCCATCAAGAGGAAAGATGGTATTTATTTGATTTGCAAAAAAATTTAGTAAACATACAATGCTTTTGAAGGAGAAAAAATAAAAACAACTATGTCCTGTGGGAATATTTATTAATCAATTTGAAAGGCAAGCAGCCTAATTTGCTGAAGATCACTGCTAGAATAATTTTCATGGCTTCGGGTCCCTGGAAATACCAAAATGAGATCATTCAGCTGGGATTTGCTTTGGGGGTATGTCTACCTGACTCTCACTTGATCCATGAAAGAGCCCCTGGGTGGAAGGACCATTGATATTTTTTCTTGGGTGACACCTGAATGCTAAGGACAAGCTTTAATTTTTTTTTTGTACCAAAAGAGAAGGGTATCCTCACTTCCACATTAGCTACCTCCTCTGGCACCCACTGTACCCGGGTTTCACTGTATTCTTAGTAGTGTGCTAGGGCATCATTTTCCTACAACCAGACTAACACATAAGACCAGGAAAAGTCTCAGGTTCAGAGGATAAAATCTGGTGCATTAGCAAAGTGTTCAAAAGTAGTATTATTTGTATCCCTAACCAAAGGGCATAGTAATCCATTTATTGTTATGCAAAATAATTTTTCAGAATCACCCATCTCTTTGGTAGTAGTTCTGATTTGCACAATTTTACTGTGCCAGATTTAATATTAGAGATTTAATTAATTAATATTAATATTTGAGATGTAATTAATTAGAGATTTAATATTAGACCATTCCGTTAATTTTCCCTTCTGTTCCTGATCATAAAAAGAAGAAAAAATATACAGCATCCTTCAAACATATTTGATAATGAAGTATGTGTGTGTTTAGCTTTTACACAGAGGAAATAATGCATTGAGACAAAAGACAAAGGAATCACATTAACAAGGAGAAACATGGATCCTTCAGAAGCTGGGAAGAACTTTGTGCCAGTTTTTCTTTTTGAGATATTTTTAAATGATACTCTATGAATTTCTAGTTCACTGAGTTTTCTCAGGAGTTTGGAAATTTACAAACCAAGCCACAATAACCATATAGTTAACAGCTGCTTTATAAAGCATCATTTGCACAGGTATTTAAGATCTATATGTATCTGGACACTAGTAGTATCGAGGTAAAACTTTATAATAAGGTGAGAAATGGGTCCCAGATTAATTTTATTGTGAATTTTTCAAATTGGTAACATATATATTATTTAGTTTATGCATTACTTAAAATAAACCATTAAGTCATTTAGTATTGATTAATCCTTATCCTTGCTGAAATTCTTATATGATTCTGTGAATTATTGTTTCTTTTTTGAAAAGCACTAATGGAGTAGAAAAGATTAGTTTTAATTGATCAAATATGATAATAAACATAAACATAAGATCTGAATTAATTATATGTTGTGATCAAGAACAATCTTTGCAAATCCAAAATACCGTCTAATTCTGAGAGTAGGTAATATGAGCATGGTTGAATTAGTATTATGAAGTAGCCTCTTACCCTCACATGGAGTCCATTGACCTAGACAAGTTCTGCACTGGTGTCGTAAAAATCCATAAGTAAGAAAACCCCAAACACTTGAATATCAAGTAGACTTCATAAATAGCAGAAATAAGTCTCCCATCCTTCCCTGTCAAGTTCCCAATCTTAGCTTAAAGACTAGAGATAAAAAACCAACCAGTGAAATCTGATTAATAAAATACCCGTGACTCCTGATTAATAAAATACCTGTATATGTGTGTGTGTGTGTATAGTAGCTTTATGTATATAAAATTATATATATAAAGTGGCCCAAGGTACACTCATATTATCTAAAACTGGCCATAATAATTTCTTTTTGATAGCTTATACACTTGAAGAATAGATTGCTTTATAAGAAAGACACAAAAAATGATGAAATATTGGCTATTTTAATAATCTTTGACCAGAAGTGAAAATCTACTTTCTGAAACCCAGGTGGAGGACTCATTTTTATCACCTGCCAGAGGAAATAGCATCTCTCATAAAATTGAGCACCTGCTTACAGAATTCTAAATCTGAGTGAGTTTACTCGGACCTAAGGTCCTGAGGTATAGCCCATTGGAACAGGATGGAAACCTTAGACCAGGGCCCAGGGAGGACGAACAAAGCCGAAGCCATACATATCCTGCCTGTCACATCTGTGTTATGACAGCTCCCTCGAGCTGAGTGGTTCTCCAACTTCAGTTTGTACCAAATTTACCTGGAGGGCTTCTTAAAACATAGCCTGGTTTAATTGGTGAGAGTTTCTGATTTAGCAGGTCTTGGTGGAGCTAGAGAATTTGCATTTCCAAGTTCCCAGGGAATGCTTATGCCTGGGACCACACTAAGAACCACTGCTCTCGCTTAAATTCTATAGGAAAGAGTAATCTTTTCTATGTAAGGACACTTTCCTATTTAGGCTTCTTTGCCTTGGGAATACTGTATGTATGTTCTGTATACATCCAGTTGCAGACCATTTAGACCTTTTGTTAAAAGATGTGGCCACTGTTTAGAACCCACAGAGGCCATCTCTGAGGTCCACTAAGAATGGGGGTCCTTATCTGACCTCACAGGCCTCTGATCTTTTCACTCCTGGTCTTTGTGCTATGCTGACTTCACCAGTACTGCAAAGATTAATTTTGTTTTATTTAATCACTTGTGAGCTGGATTTGCAGCTTGTTAGGAAAGTGCCCTTCTGATTTAGAGGGAAGTTGTGAAGTCAAACCACGTGGAGGCCTATCATGAAACCACATCCAGACAGGGTAAGAGGAGGCCCCTGCTGGATCAGGGGAAAAGCTGCAGTCTCTGGAATCAACATTGCAATCAAATTCCAACTCTGACACCCTACATCCCCAGTTGTCAAATAATTGTAGGGGGAGGGAGTGAAACAGACATGATTTTCATTCTTTCTGCTTTTGTACTGTAGGTGAATCCTTGACCTGGAAGACTCAGTGGCAGAAATAACAAGTTCAATCATTCAGGAACAATTGGCTGGTGAGGCTTAGCACAGGAATCTGAGGTTCTAGAACCCAAAAGTCACAGCTTTTCTGCATTAACTTAAAGTGCAAGGAGGGGCCAGGCATGTTGGCGCAAGCCTGTAATCCCAGTGGCTCAGGAGGTCAAAACAGGAGGATTACAAATTCAAAGCCAACCTCAGCAAAATTGAGGTGCTAAGCAACTCAGCGAGACCCGCCTCTAAATAAAATACCAAATAGCAAAATAGGGCTAGGAATATGGCTCAGTTGTCGAGTTACCCTGCGTTAAATCCCCAGTACCCCTTCTCCCCCACAAAAAAAAGTGCAAGGAGGGAGGGCAAGAGCGAATTCTAGATTTTATTTGCAATGATAACTAACCTTTATTATGTGCATAACCAGTTTCCATGGAGAGAGAGATTGTTTAATGTTCTACATTTTCAAGTTTTGTCCCTTCAGATGAAGAAATCAATTACTCCATCAATTTAATGCCTAAAAGCAATCATTACATTAAAAAATCGACCTTCAGTTTACACTCTGATTGAAAAGTTTCTGACTGCTACTATTTTTAAGAACAACCCTAAACCTTTTTTTTTCCTTATTTCTTCTGTCTGCCCATGGCAAAACAAAAGACAGTTGGCACAAAAGAAATATTTCCAAAGAAACACAGGACCATATGATTAATAAACAGGGAGATAGAGCATAAAATGAAAAATAAAATTTAAAAGATTCGATCTCAGTGAAAAAGGAATCATCAAACCATAGAAAAAATTATGGAGCCATATCCCCGTTTTAAGCTATTTCTTACAGTTCTTTACTCTGTCCATTTTCTTCAGTTTTCTCTTTATAAAAATAACATTATTTTGATACTTATCAATTAGAAGGTTATAAATGAAAAATGAAAATTACAATTCTTAGTGCTTAAACAAACCTTTAAAAAAGTGAGTTATGAAATGGAAAGAGGGTGGAATCTGCATGGAGTCTGCTTTTGGATAGCAGGCTTCAGCACTCTTCTTTTTAAAAAAAATATGTATATATTTTAGTTGTTGATAGATCTTTATTTTATTTATAAAATAAATATCTGTGGTGCTGAGAAATGAACCCAGTGCCTACACATGCTAGGCAAGTGCGCTACTGCTGAGCCCCAGCCCCAGCTCAGTACTCTTCTTAAGCACAATGAGGTTTTCATCCAGAACCAAGAAATTCTTTAAAAAAGAGACTGTTCTTACCCTCATCCTTCCATTCCTTATTGCTGGCCCATCTTCTGCCAATCTCAACACGTACAAATCCATTTTGTATTCCCTTCCCCCACGAATGCTGAATCCAAATCCTTTGGCTCCTTTCTCCATGTCCACAGTGAAATAATCAAAATCCTTTGGGATTGGGCAGAAAAATGAAATAAAAAATTTTTAGTATTCAAGAAGCTTCTGTGGTTAGCCTCTCGTTCTCCTTCCCTCTCAGAATTAATGACATGATGTGAGAAGAAGTAATCTGACTTCACAACTATGAAAAACGCAAGACACAATTCCAAAGGTTTGAGCAGATTAGAACTGTTTAAAAAGAACCACCAGGTATAGTCAACCTACTTGAAAAACATGTAATTATTGCATATAGGCCTGACTAACACCATCTCTTCTGAGTTTTCTCATTCACTTCTGTGAGAACCATAAATAAGTAGATCAATTGTGTGTGTGCAAATTAGTTTGTAGAATAGAAAAGTGAAATTTAATGGGTTCTGACTGTATTTCTCAGTTGTACAGACTACTGAATATCAAGTTGAAGTGTACAAAATCAATTTCTCTTTTCCATAAAATACAATATGTCCAAGATTTCCTGATCTTCACTGTTCTTAAACTCTTTTAACTTTAATTCATAATAAAATACAATGCAATCTGACAGAGTTGAAATTGTACTTAATTTGTACCTTGCTATCCAATTACCAGGAAGTGGATATTTACTAGATACTAAGTTCTGGTCTAGATTTCTTTTAAAAATGTTGAATCCTCACTTTGACCTGTAAGGAAGATGCTCCCTTTAGGAAACTGAAGCTCAGTGAGGTTAAGCAAATCACCATGAGGTACCCTCAACCAATAGTTACAACTGCACCCTTGGCTGTACAGACAGGTGTTCAGAGACTGTGCCGGAGAGAATGAACCTAGGTCTGGTTTTACCTTCTGCACAGAGCTTGGCCCCTTATCACACAGTGGGAAATAGGGGGCCATGTAAAGAACTGTGCACCTAAAATACCTCCACTGATGGCAAATGTGAAACTGTCTGCATTAGCAGCACTCTGAGGGCTCAGATAAGAGCCCATTTTTGGCAGTGCTGGGAATGGAACCCAGTACTTTGTACACCCTAAGCAAGCATCTGCCTCTGAGCAACACCCCCAGACCTGAGAGCATTTTAAAAACATTGAAAAGGCAATGTACTGGGAGTTAGCTAGTTAACATCAGCAGGGATTAGTTTATCCCATTACTACCCACCCACTATTGATTGATGGATGGATGGATTGTCCTAATTTATTTTGAAATACATTTATTGATCCAATGCATTTTTAGAGTGCAGGTGTTAACCCTGATGTCATAATTAGGAATAGAACTCTGACTCTCTACCCCAGAAGGGTGCTCTTTTCTCTGTCTCCCCTCTGTTTTATTCCTTGCACTTTAGTAAGTCTTGTCTGGGTTGCCACGATCTCTGGGCTATGGTACCTGGGGCTGCCTGTAGTCTGACAGAGGGTACTGCCTGGTGTCGGGGGAGTGCTGCCTGTAGTCCAGCAGGGGAGGCTGCCTGTAGTCCAAGGGTGGGGGTTGCTGGTAGTCCCCTCCTGGGGGTTGCCTGTAGTCCAGCGGGGGCTGCCTGTAGTCTGTGAATGGAGGCTGTCGGATGTCTGGTTTCACATCTTGCCTTGCCTTTACTTCGGACCTGTAACTAAATAAATGGAAAGGGGATTTGCTTTGGCATCTCAGCATTTTAAGGAGACTAGAACGATCGCATGACTTCCAGGTGCGTCCAAGCCACACTAGCTTGTGGGAGCCACTCCTCATGGTGGTGGTCTTATACATTTAGGATTATGAGATTAAGTACATGATAAATATTGTTGAAAATTTTGTGACAAGTGTCATATTATATACTTTTCATTTGGGTTTTGAAGAAATCTAGGTACCAATGATGATTTAACCAAAACTTTGTGGGAAGGGACTCATGTTGATCTAGCCCTTATATTCTATTTAAAAACTGTACAATCACAGCAAATCCAGGGAGTTAGACACTTGACTATTTATCCAACATGTCAGTCTAAACAATAACAAACCAACTGTCTCAACTCCGCATCCCCACTTCTTGGCAGACAATTCGTCGCTTCACGAAAGCATGATTGAAAAATGATCTCTAATACTTTACAAATATACAATGAAAGACTATTTTCAACCTGCTTAGTTGGGTGTTTTTGAATATTTTAGAGGTTACAGGAGTGACAGTAAGGTATAATCATCAACTAGAAAGTCACTGGATCATTGGTAAATTAAAAATGCATTTTGCAGAGGTTTAAAAACTAAACCACAGCTATCAGGATTGGTCATAAGATGGAAGGGAAGGCAAAAATATTTATGTCCCACGTTCATCTCTTGCTTGTTTCTAGATATCAGCTACTAATAAGCACAGAGGCCAGAGCTAGCAGGTTGGTAGTTTTACAAATCCAAATTGCTATAAGTTGAGGGGTTCCTGGTTCACAATGGAACAAACATAGCCAATACCTACATTATGGGATCATTGAAAAGGTAAACTGAAAAATAATCACCTTGGTATAGGGGTCTTTTACTTCTGTAGTTCAGGATCTATTGCCATAGCAACAGTGTATAATGAGCTACCCAGGGATGTAGGTAGATTAAAAAATATACTTTCTATATAATAGCAATTTCATCTAAGATTAACATGAAAGTTATAAGGAATTGAGAAAACACTCAGCACCAAAGAAAAGCTCAAAGGCATCAGGAAAAACAGGTTCAAAATCAGTAGATTTTTAAAAAACCTTTAAAAAACTAGATAATTTCTTTCCTGGCTTATATATAGTCTCACTGATGCTGATTAGTATTAAGTATTTTTTAAAAATCCTTCACCTGAACAATTGCCACTATTAAAATCTAATAGTTGGTGAGGACACACTAAAAGTGCAAGACAATAGATGTGTTTATTTGGGGTTCTTGGAAGGGGGTTAGTGATATAGTTATTTTAATCCAATTTGAGTAGATTCCATTCGTTACTTAACCCTGCAGAGGGGAGAACTGTTCCTTTTGTGAGTTGCATAATTTAGGCTCTGCTTTATTCCTCAGTAGTCCACTCACCTACTGAGAGTGTGCATGCTGAGAACAGAATAATTTAAAATATGCTTTGAATAAGATGCTTAACTATGCAAATGAATGCATTAAACAAAAGGAATTAGACTGGGTGACATTTGTTGGTGTGTGTCGGTTCTTTTCTAGAAATAACTTGCTTGGTGGTTTTGATGTAGTGCTATTTTAAGTTATAGCATAGTCACTTTATTTTCATGATCTGTGTGATATTAGTATGAAATATCCATTATGTGTTCTGTTTTCAACCACATGTGTCAGGAGGTATAGCAAAAGAGGGTGAAATGTAAGGATCTCCCCAAAGAGAGATGACTAGAAATAGGAACAATTGAAACTTGCAACAGCTGTCATCCAGGCCACCAAGCACTCAAACTTTATTCTGAATCAGTGTCATGTTGTCAGGATTTTAAGTTGAACTTCACAACCCTTTAATAAGAACACTTTAGCAAGAAAAATAAGCCTAATTTTTTATGAGTGTTGCTAATTTTAAGTGGATGATACATTGGCTAGGGCAAAAATTATGTTGCTTTGAATAAGTGACACAATTCATTTTATGGAAAAATCAGAATCATTAAGAATAGGCTTTATAAAGTCCCCTTCCTTATGAAAGAAGGCCATCATATAATTCTTGGTAGCTATTAATTCCATTATTAACGTGATGTTAGAGATATAAACCTAGATAGCTAATGGTAAATTCTAGCACACTTTTTGTGGTATGAATAAGTTCCAGAACCAAGAAATGATGCCCAGACAAAATTCTACATCTTGTGAGTCCTTCAAGAATTGACCTGAACCTTAAGCATCCTAGGGTTCAAGTTTGGTGTAAAAGGTGTCGATTTCCAATGCTCTTCCAAATCCCAGTCAAATATCAGTTGCTCTTGTTGAGAAATGTAAGCTCTAGAGTAGGTTTGTAACATATTCTATAAGGGTTCTTTTTGTTTTCAACAAATGTTACTCCTTGAATAGTATTTTACCTATGTTCATTTTACAATTATTTGTGTTTTCTAGCACATACCAAAAAGATGTTAAGGGATGGAGAAATTGGTAGAAGTGTGCAGGGTGTCGTGGGAAGTTAATCTAGAAGTAAATAAGACAGGACAAAATATCACTTTAACTTACAAAACAGAAATTTGCAAGCAGATTGTCATTTTAGTTTATCCCATTCTAACATGGGAATTGGCTCAATCTGACATGTAGGTGGGCATTTCTTGTACAAATGCACTTGGCATATCAGCAGTCTTGGAGACATTTCTAGCCTAATTTAGAAAAAAGGAAAAAGTTTTTCCTCTGATACCATGACCATCTTTAAATGCTCTTATGAAAATGTTTCTGACATCTGTGAGATTATTGAATCTCCTTATTCATGTGCAAATGAGCCACAACCAACAATCAAAGAGCCAAGTCTGAAAACCTGTAAAGACCCTAGAATTGAAGTGAGCACCTTCCAGGCTGTTAACATTACTCAAGTGAAATAGGTGAGAACTCTGGGAAAATATACTGGTGATTTAAAAAATTTGGATCAGACTGATGTGTTAATCCAAGAATGAGGAAATATTTCATTCTGTAATCAGAAAAAAAAAAAAACAAACTTTTTCAAAGACCATTCCTTCTATGATAGGAGCTACAGTGTCCTAGTTGTGAGCCAGTTGCAGCTGGGGTCACACAGAGGCCTTACTCACGGCTGTCCTCCATACAGGACTACAGCATACCCTCACACTTGTCCTTCACACCGAGAACCTCTCCCAGAAAGACTATGAGTGATTGCAAATGAGGAGGGGCTAACTTGCTCCTTAACATTAGGGAGAGAAGAGATGATTCCTCATCCAAGGATGAGATTCCCCACCCCAGACTAGAAGCAAGACCCATGGCCAGGGGAGTACAACTCTGAAAGGAGAAGATGGAACATGGCTGCAAGATTAATCTACAGTGGCAAAGCCCAGAAGAAGAGTCTGAAGCTGACTGAGGGACTGTGTGGGCCTTAAGTCCTTCCTCCTGAGTCTAAATGGATCCCGGGGAAAGCCAGTGCAATCTGTTGAAATAGCACATGGTGGGAGTAAGCTCATGGGGGGCTTATTCTTGAGGTACCCAGGACTTACTCTTCTTATGGCTTGTTAGATTCTTACCTCTGCATCATCTGCTTTAAGGGGCTTTTCTCTTCCCCAGCATATATTAAAAACATAAACAGCTGAGGATAACCAGATGCTCAGTTTTCCATGAAAACACATGGGAAAATCAGAGGAGAATGGAGCTTTCTAGAAATACCGCCTGTGGCACAGGGAAAAATCTTTTATTTTACAACAGTATACATGATGAACCCGAAGAGCTCTGGCAATCATCAACAGTCTCACTTCACCTTCACCAACAGGGGAGGCAGGACATGGGAAACAGATATTCAGCAGACACTGGGCCCATGGATAAGGCCAGCGAGGGGTTTGTACTCAGAGATGTTTTCATAAGTCCTTCTGTTTTTCTCTTGTTGAATGGGGGAGATTGCATGGGAACAGGTCTTCCTATTTTCTTTTTAATGGCTCAATGCAACCCAGGCCCTCTGTTACATGCAAGTAATGATAAGAAGACAATGTTATTTTTATATGGCATCCCTTTTTCCAGATTCAAAGTGCCTTATTCACATTAGTTCACAATGCTGTGTGTGTGGAATGGGAGACCCTAATGTTATTACTCATTTTAAACAGGAAAGTATGAACACTTATTAATGCCTACCAATCCCTCAACATTTCCTCCCTCCATTGCCACCACCATGCTCTAAGCCAGCAGCTTCGTGGCCCAATGACTTCTACAGACCCCTTGTCACTGCATAACCCACATTGCCTGACCAGCCTTCAGCAGGTTCTCTATAGGGCACCCTGAGAGACTGTGAAAAGTAAATCCTATGTCACTCATTAGTTTCAACCCTCCAGTGACCTCCCACTAAAGACAACAATCAAAACTCTTACAAGACCCTTTATGGTTGGGCCCTGCTACCCTTACTGGCTTCACCTCAAACCATGCCACCATGACCTTGGCCTTATTTCTGTCCTCTGCTTACATGCTTCCTCCTCTGCCAGAGGATCTTTGCATGTTCTTCACGTTGGAACCTCCTTATTGTACTCTTTGGCTAGTTAACCCCTCCTCAGTTGCTAGAATTGCTCATCCAGTAAAGTTTCTCTCATTGTGAAGGACATTTAGTTATGTATACTAATACAACCATGTATCCAACACATACACAATCTCAAAATCACACACATGAAAAAAAACATGGCAACTTCTACTATGTGAAAATCTCTCTCCCTGCCTGTGTTCTGCATTGTTCCCAAGCATTCCCTCTCCCCCTCCCTTAGTCTCAGAATCAGAAAAGTCAGAGCAAACGTTACCTATTTTCATGTCCTTGCAGCTGAAGTGGCTGAGGAGGAGCTGGTTGGGCGACAGGGCTGTTGGGGGTGGCTGGGCTTGGTTGGGCCAGAGGACTCTGCTGGGCCAAGGGGCTGTGCTGCTGGGCCATGGGGCTCTGCTTCTCGGAGCTGGGTGCCGAGGCTGGGCTGTTGAGCTCTGTGATAGGAAACCAAAGGGGCAGATGTGGTCAGGTTGGCATTTTTGATCAGGGGCAAGACATGGCCAGAAGTGGTGACTCTCCTCCTCAGATGACTCAAGGATTCGGTCATTTCTGTTTTTGTTAGGCTTTGTTACTCCTGGAATGAGTAGTCTTTCATTAATTAAAATGGTTACCGAAGAAAGTAATGAACAGTCTCTTGTCATTTTGTAAGAAGAAAAGATTGACAAAACAAAAACAAAAATAAAACCCCATCAAAACCATGAAAGAATTATTCAAAGAAGTAAGCTCTAAAGAATATTCTGTTTCCAGCACTGTTTGCTGAAAAAAACACTTTAGCCACCACTTTTGGACTGTAATGAGAAGTTTTAATGTTCTTATAAAGTGTGGGTAAATAACTAGACATAAACTAGTATGCCTTTTACAGTCTCTTCCCCAGCTCCTTGTCAGTCCTGTTAATAATCCTCTGTACTCCATAGTTCTCCAGAAAGAAAAGATTTCTGGACACAGGAAGATTTATAAGTCTGTTCTTTTCAACAATTGCTTCTTGTCTCCCTGCCCCACTCCCCCACTGCCAATAACATCAAAGGTTTAACTGAAATTATCTCTACATGTTAGAATAAGGGCAGGACAAATACATTTCAGACTAGGAAGACTGAGAAAGAAGTTGGAATTTTAGTAAGCAATCGTGCTTAGAATTTGTTTTCACTAAATATGTTATACATGTTGGTGTGTGTGATGATAGGTTAAAACAAACCTGCTCATTGACTTCTCTCTTTGGTTTTGTGATAAAACAGGGGTTACTTTTTTGGCTTTCCATTATAAACCACTCTTTCTTTTCTCATAGCCCAGATATTTTAATTTGTTTTCCATTTGTATCAGGGTTTTTCAACCTCAGTACTCCCAACATTTTGGACCTGGTAATTCTTTGCGGAGGTTGTCTTGTGCCTTGTAGGATGATTAACAGCATTTCTGTCCTCTGCAGACTAGGTGACAATTGCATCTCCACCCCAATTTTGAAAGCTAAAAATGTCTCTAGACATCCTCAAATATCCCCCCTGGGGGAACAAAATCACCCTGGTTGGGAGCTACTGTTTTACATTTAAATCAGGTGGCAGTTTGGTCAGTTGTACCTGCATGATAGATAGTCCGAAGGTGGAATGGGAAGCGGGGTTGAATAAAACAGAGGGTGCCAAGTTAAAGAAGCCCATTAGCCTCTGTGTGGGACCCAGAGAGCTCCAGGGACTGAATCTTTCAATATCACTAATGAGCCAGTAGCTACAAACCAGTAACAAACCCACTGTGTGTGGCAATGGTGCATGTCCGGTGCATGGTACTCAGAACTGCGGCCCTCCAGGCCTGGGCTGTGAGCTGGGGTGCTCAGGAACTCTGCAGGCCTCACGGGGGAGTCCTTGTACAGAGAAATTCAAGAGGCTGAGTGGGAATTTTAAATTCTTATCAGATGCAACATTTTCTAAATGAGCTCTCTTTAGACCACAAAACTTCTTCAAGCTTTTCAAAATCAATCTGACTTTGAAGAATTCTCCAGAGGTTAACTGTTAACATGAATAGTTTTTTTTTTCCTTTTTTCAGGTTTTTAACTCTGTTGAGTGAGTTCTGGCTTAATATAACTTAATAGAACCATAAAAAACAGTATTCCTGAGACCCCAGGGAATGATCGGATAAGCCAGTGTCTTGGGATTTACACTAGTGAACCTGCAATGCCACCATAGCTTGATTTCTAAATAAAACTGGTGGTGAGTAGCCAGGATGTGGGCTGCAATGGAGTGTGAGTTTGTACAAGAGTGGAGACGACAATTGATCTTTGGCATTCTAACAACACGCTGACTCCACATCCTGGCAGGCAGGCTGAGAAGCCCCCAGTGAGCATTTCCCTGTTTTGACTGTCTCTCTGAAAGGCCGCCTCAGGCACTCACCCTCCTGAGGAATGATGCGAAGGGTGACACTAAGGCCTGCGTCCTTGATGAGCTTCACGATGTCAGCGTGAGGCATGTTGATGATGGACTGGCCGTTCACTGCTAAGATCCGGTCTCCCACTTTTAGTTTTGCACAGCGATCTGCAGGACTTCCATCAATGATGCGTCCGATTTTATGGGGCACAGCTAAAAAAACCCCAACAGAAATAGGTATCAGGGACATCACCAATGCAAGTTCTATCCTTTAGTCCCAGTCCCAAAGAGAACAATGCAATGTGCCTTTTGAAATTGCAATCATTTATATTAAATATGGTCTTGTGCATATCACTGAGACCAGAGTTACTAAATTCATGTCCTTTGCAGTGATAGGCCAAGTCCAAACAAATATACTAGAGGTTCTCAAACTGTGGATGCATCATAATGACCCTGGGATTAAATGTACAGCTATCTAGGCCTCATCCCAGACCAGCTGAATCTGAATGTCCAGCGAGAGATGAGGACCATGGGTTTCCAAGAAACTCCTTGAGAGAGTCCAGTACCTATGAGCATTTGAGAATCATAGATGGAGAACATTGTGTACTAAGAGTTCGTATTCTAGAAATAATAATAGAGTTTTAGAAAGGCATAGGAATTAATTTCTTTCCCTTTCTATTTTACTGAAAGGAGGAAAAAGGAAAGAAATATGTACAAATTCAGGTGGTAGCCACCTGGTGAAGAAGTTCTGGCCAACTTCCCTTTAATCTAGTTAACTTTAGTTTAAAAGGCAACACGTTGCAATCTTCTCTTCTTCTGATTTGCTTTATTGTATGGCTCTGGGAACTTGCTAATGTCTGATACATAATGAAGTGCATCAAATTTAAGATGCCATTGACGGTAAGACAAATCTTTGCCATGCAAAGGGAAAATGAAAGGAATGTTGCCAATTAAACTAAGACACTCCATTCACTCCAAGATACTCTCTAATTGCTGAGATATTAAAACATAGAAATATTTTTGAACTGATGTAATATATTACCTGACTCTCTAGAACAAAAACATTGAGTTAATTTTTATTACTTATATATGTGTGGAAAGAGCAAGAGACATGGGAGTACAGAGTTTCCTAGCTTCTACTCTATGTAAATGGTTGAGTACCTATCAAGGTAACTATTTCTGGGATTAGATATTAATCCCCTCAAGGAGTTTATAATCTAGAAACCTGTTCCCTTTCCTTTCTCCCTTCAAGACAACCAGCCCCTATCTTTTTGCTCACTCTTTGAAATCAGGTATTGATTTAAACTACACAAACAGGGAAAGAAAAAAATTCATCATCCATAAGCTCTAAGGATGTCTATGCCCTGAACTATCAATTTTGTGCATGTGTTGCAGAGAAAGGCAGAACATCAGCTAACAACCATGATAAGGAAGGACAATTAGTGAGTTAATGAACCTGCACCTTGTTCACTCTTCCACTCTGAAAGGTTATAGATAGCATATGAAAATATTGGCTGAGCCTGTGTCCCTGAAGTAGAACTCATCATGTTGGAAACACAAACACATTTTTATTTACCATAAGCACTAATGGCTTTAATTAAGAATACCTTCCTTAGAGCATACTAATGATCATCTTCGAATTTTAGAATAATATATTTTTCAGTTAAAAATGCTATAAGAACAATTAGTGATTTACAAATCGATGTAGGCATTGCAAGGTGTTTGTTCTTCAACCATAATTAGGGTGAACTTTTTTCCTGTTTTTGTTCCTTTTCATATTCAACAGTGTCTTGAAATGGTCTACAAATGATTTGGTCTCTCTGCCTGTAATGTGTATGACTTTACGAACCGTGTAACTTTTGGAAAGTTACTTAAACTCTTAAGAGTTTGTTTTTCTTCCTTCTTCTTTTTTTTTTTTTTTTTTGGTGGTGGAACTGGGTATTGAACCCAGATATGTTCTAACAATGAGTTCTATCCCCAGTTCTTTTTATTTTCATTTTCAGACAAGTGCTTGATAAGTTGTCCAGACTGGCCTGAACTGGTAATCCTCCTACCTCAGCCTCCTGAGTGGCTGGGATTATAGGGGTGTGCCATGGCACTTGGCTTCTGAGTTTGTTTTTCAATTGCAAAATTGGAATAATAATATTACTGCCCTCACAGGATGGTTCTGAGGATTAAATGAGTTACCACATGTAGAAAGCTTGATACATAAGAATTGATCTATAAATATCGAATGATATTCTTTTGGTTGTTAACTTTTAAATAGTTCTGATCTCACTATTTTTTTTTTTTGTGTGTGTGTGTAGGTTTCAACTTTCTTTTCTTTCCATGTGAGATAAACCTGGAACACTACTAAAACTAAAAGAACACAGCTTACTATAGGATCATACGGGCACTAATCCCTAAAAATTACACATGAAAACAGTTTCATTTATAAAAGAGATGTGTTTGGGAATTAAATAGACACTGGATGAGGTCAAGAGTCTCTCTGATTTTACACAAAAAATGTTGCAGATCTTTGTAGGAAAGTACCAACTTGTAAATAAGAATTTATTATTCACAGGGAAATCAACACAGTATAGATCTAATGTCTACTTTCATATTTATTGACTTATTAACAACTTCTTTTCCTGCCTCTTATGATTTATGAGTACTTACATGAGCCAATCATTGTGCTGAGACACACCCCCCATTGTTTCCACATGAACATTATATAATATAATCCTTAAGAAAGCATATAAGGTGCCAGGTATCACTACATTCACAGTAGAGGAAGCAGGCTACAGCGGTTAGTAATCTTCCTGAGGTCACATAGGGATCAGAACTGTGGTTGCTCCCAGCAGCAGAGCCTTCGCTCCTCCCAGGAGCTGCTCTGCCTCTCTTGACTTTGTTGTCTCTGATCTCTAACCTGTTAGCTGTCTGTGCGCACCTGGTGTTTTCACTCGGACTGCAGCCTGCCTCTAAGCCAGCAATCCCCAACACTTCATGAGTGGCCCTGACCCAGGGAAGGTGGCAGCCAGGAACTCAGCTCCAAGTTGTCTTTTGACAGGTGAGGTGTGAGGAGAGGAGAGGAAGTGGAGAGTCTTCAGATCCTGTTTAGTTAGGACTTCCTGGCATGGCAACATTTCTTTGGGCATTAGAAACACTGACATTTGAGGGGCTGGGTTTGTGACTCAGAGGTAGACCACTCTCCTAGCATGCATGAGGCACTGGGTCTGATACTTAGAACCCCTAAAAATAAATAAAGATATGTGTCCACCTATAACTAAAAAATAGATTTTTTTAAAAAGAAACACTGACATTTGAAAGGAAATTAAAAAATATCATTCAAAACACAGCAAATGGTATTTGGGTCATGTGCTGTTTTTGACTTGTTCATGGCTCTGGGCATAACCTCCCAAACCCCCGGAAGTTTCAAAACATAGTCTACAAACACACACACACACACACACACACATGTTGTGAGCTCAACAACAATAAAAACAACATTACACTATAATTTGTTAATTTCCAGGCATTGTACTAAGTACCTATTTAACTAATTAATTTTTGGTACTGGGGATTGAACCCAGTGGCACTTAACCACTGAGCCACATCCTCAGCCCCTTGCTCTTTATTTTGAAACAGGGTCTTACTAAGTTGCTTAGGGACTCACTAAGTTGCTGAAGCTGACCTTGAACTTTCGATCCTCCTGCCTCAGCCTCTCAAGCTGTTGGGATTACAGCTGTGTGCCACACATTGGTACTTATTTTAAACCCTTACATCAACATTGTGAAGTAAATGGAAAAAAGTAATAGTCACACTTGTTTTACAGTTAAGAAAACAAGTAAGTGCCAAAGCCTATATTCAAACCTTTGCCTGTGGCTTTAAACCTTGGGAGTTTCTTCCCTCTTGTTCTAGTATGTGGGTGGGTGAAAGCAAGGTGAACTTTGAGGAGCAAGGATGATTGAGACAGTCTTAAAAAACATGTTGCTGGGGCTTCAGGAGGAGAGTTTTGCTGTAAACAGAATTATCTGCTTAGGTGATAACTCTTAGTTCCAGGGCCATTTTAACTTAGAGTAGTTAGAATAAAAACTAAAATAAAAGAATAAAAAACATAATAAGAGAATGAAAACAAAAATAAATTCTATGGTAGCCATGCAGGATGGCTGAGGGACTTACATAAAATATGACTGAGTGCACAATTTAAAACTGCCTGCTCAGTAATTGCAAGTACCTGACATGGTTTTATGACAAATGTTTTCCATTGGTATTTACTTGAATTAAAGTAGTACTTGGAGTTCCTGGCAGCAGAAGGCAGTCCCCCTTTTTCTTTACCATCACTTCCCCTACACGTGTAAGTACATTCGATGTTGATGTACAACAGATCTTTGACAAGGGGTGTGCTCAGCGAGGATTCTCCCTGGGAACAAGATGCAGCTCCATTTGCTCAGTGATAAGGTCCACAGAGCTTATGACCCGGCTGCTTTTTGTGCAATGCTAATGGAATTACAGAGCAAGGAAGAGGCCCTGACCTTGGTTTCTATTATTGGGATGAATGGTGCTCATTAATTCTCTGAGAATTGATGACTAAGGTAACTGCCGGAGTGCAGTCCATTTAGACAGCATGCCTCATGGACATCATCTTTCAGGCGGCAACATAAATCAAGTCTTTGGATCTGTCTTCTTGACACAGTGTGCTTAGGATACACAGATATTTGGGGGAAAGTCACAATATGTCATTTGGCTTTGGGCGTAATGACATTTGGGCAAGAGACAGTATGTCACTAGTTAGAAATTTTAATTGAAAATCACAAATTATGGAAAATAAACCCCATTTTTTTCTATTACATGATTAATTTCTAGGTAAAGCAGTACATTTACATTGCAGCATGTTTTCTATTTTCCTATAGGTGAATTGACTTGGCATTGCCCAACGTACCATGCTGGTTTTAGTGGGAATATTCTGTCAGTTGACTAGATATTCTCTAAAGTGAGTTCTAACGTGAGTTCATTTTTGCCATTGGATTATTTTCCGGGACCCGTGTGTGGTCTACCCAGGGTCCCTCAGCCCTTTGTCAAAGTGGACTGATTCAGTCATTGGACTCTTGTTGAGCTGTGCCCTAGGTCAGTCCCCACAGGGAAGACAGGATGATTACCTGAAGGACATTTCTCGCTTTAATGATAGATTCTTCATGAAATCCTGAGGGAAGGGATTATTAGATCCCTCTCCT